GACTTTGGTAATAAAATTCAATGATTTGCAAGCGTTGCTCGTTAGTAAGTCTATTCATGATGAAATGAATATATTAATTTTTGTGTGTGTAAAATTGCCTGTCGCACGGTGTTATGTGTATGTATGTACATATAATTAGCTAGACATATATAAAAAAATATTAAATATTAAATAAACAAAAGAAATATGCATTCTATTATTGCCACCATTGCAAATTACATTAAAAAAGTCCGGGATCCCGGGATTAACATCCCTAGTATGTGTAGACTTTCATAAAGATGCTAAAATCATTTCACAGCTATAAAGGTGAAGTGTGAATATGAGTAAAAAGTAGGTGAAGCAGGTGCCGTTGAATTACACTATGAAGGTTAAGTGTCAACCACTTTAAAAATATGCGAAAAAGCATGCAGAAAACCCTTTTCGAAGACAATCGCAGGATTTTTCATTATTTTCCTCACAGCCTTGTATATTACTTATCGCGCTGTAAGACAATTTTATGTGAACCGCGAAGCCAAGTAGAGTCACTAGAATTTTAAAGTATTTAAAGTAGAAAATTATATTATTTCCTAGCCACGGGGATGTTAAAAAGTCTAGAAACATATATGTAGATATGTACGTGGCCTTTAAATGAGAAATTGAAATACAGATTTTCATAGTTTTCGAAACCGCGAAAAAGTTGTATTTGCATCTGAAATAAATAATTGTAAACGAAAATCAACCATGCTTACATGGTAGGCACTAGAGGGCTGCATGAATGCATTCAAAACGGCTTTTGAATTATTCATATACAAAACGAATGAATGATTTTGGCTTCAAATTTTTTTGAATTTGAGTGAATAGCTATTCTGATATTTGTGTCGACATCACAATATTCAAACAAAGTGAAAATAAATTGAATTGAAATAAATGACAATTTTTTGTATGGATATCCAAAAATATTTTTTCTATGCACATATGTACAAACATACATATGTATGTATGTATGTATTGCGGCGCTCCTATTACATACGAAAAAACTTGTTTGTAGAAAAAAACTTTTACCGAAATGAGTTTAAATGATGCGAATCATGATACAAATATTTATAAGGTACAATCGCTGAGAGCCAGCTTTAGAAATTTTGACGTTTGCTAGCATTTTTGAAATTTTCTCTCGCCCTCATTTCATACGTTTGTTTGTTTCATGATGTGAATGTTTTCCATTCATTCATTCACATTCTTCCATTTGAAGGTAGAAAATATAAAACAAAATGTATATTCATAACTTACAAAATTCCAAACGCTGAGTGTTTTGTATGTGAAGTAAAATATTCAAATCTACTGTACTCTGTTTGGCTAGAAGTTTGAATGAATTCATGCAGCCCTCTAGTATGCACTTACACCTTTCCAAATTTACAGCCGGAAACCGACAAACAGCAAATAAGCTCAATTCGTCGTCGGACGCCAGCGGAAGTATTAGTATGTATAATGAATATACTTTTACTGGGTTTAGGATAAAAAAAAAAATAGGCTCGTAGGGAAGTTTTCTACATTGACGATGATTTTTGAGCCTACTTCAAAATAAGCTAATTTAAAAAAAAATTATTATATAGTTATTTTTTTTTATCGGAATTTGGTTCAGCTCCGATTATTTTTAATTAGTTAAAAGGTTCTTATTTGTGTTCCCTGCACTAGGTTTTAACGCAGATTTCAAAATGGTTCTCTTTTTTTATAAAGCAATCGTATTTCTGGCTAGTATATTTCAGGACGAATGGATAAGGATTAAGCCAAGAATTTGTGTGAGCAAATCCAATTTTTGGCAGCCAATGTCAGTTACGCGGTTTTGCGGAATGACGATACACGATTTTGTACTTTAAACGACGATTTGTATGTATGTAATTTTTGATCTTATGCGCTAGAGATGTTCGGAGATCATACATATGTACATACATCTGTTGAAACAATATGCAGATAATGCAGATACATAATTCCGATGTACAAAAATATTATAAAGAAAATATTATTATTATTATTATTATTTCTTTGGTAAATTAAAGGCGCTGATACCGAATACTACTTCCTTCATTTTTTTGGGGTTAAAATTTAGGAGACCTATAGTTATTTCAAAAGCCGCATAAAAAAAATTTATAGAAATGAAAAGAGTACCATTTTTGAATATTTCTCAAACTAGAGTAAAATTGTGACTACTGGTGTCATTCTAAATCCTGCAACCCAAAATATAACTTTTTATTACATAATTGACGCATTTTCTAAGAACATATTTGTGTATTTTTGACTTATGTCATGTTCTGACCGACATGGAAAACGTGTTTTCGTTGCTAAAACTGGTTTTCCATGGTCCATGTAAAATCTGTCAAACGAAAATCAGTTTTCGCTGAAAACTACTGGAAAAATCACGTTCCACTCCAATCGGTGTCTGCGCTAGTTTTTTCGATTATTCATCGAAGTGGAAGTCATAATTGATCATCTTTAATACGCCATTTCAGATTTATTGTTAATTGGCTGGCCAAATAGGAATGAAAGTAAGAAGTTGCTAATGAAATGGAAATGAGGGATAAGTATTTTGGTTTTGTTTTTGTGTAGCAAAACTGTAATCAAAGGATGTAGGAAATGTCAACGAAAACACTAACAACCGGTGTAAACGGCCTTCAGCGCACAACATCCCCAAAACTTGTTTTCAAAGTGTTTTCGTTGTCGGTCAGAACATGGTATTACTTTTTAAGCTTTTGCCACTTTGCAAATAATTGGAGTTGTGTATTTTTTTTTAGAAAAACCAAACAATAAAACTAAAGTGGTGTCTACTTTAAATGTGCCACACATCCAGCATCGCAGGTAAAAATCAATTTATGGATTTTTGTCTCAGTGCACACACACACTAAACAGCTTTGTTTACATAATTTGGAGTTAGATAGCCTAAGAATATTACATGTACATATGTATGTCATATATACACACATACATGTGCGTAAGCTCTTGCAATTGCCATGGGGCGCGTTGTTCGATGAAATTACGTTGGAACACCATTTTTGACTGAGTGAGGGAGGAATTAGGTGCTTTCTTGCTTATGTAAATTATTTCTCAAATGATGCTCGGATGCCGCATCATATCAGCTGTTACTGTAGCAGAGGAATATAATACTGATTATGATGCTATTCGAAAGTGAACTGACACACTTAGTGTCCACAAAAGCACGTTGCTGCTTAAAAATTATTTAATTTATGCTAACAGCATATGGAATCAGAAAATCAACAAATAAATTGAATAATTTGCGAAACCAATGCCAAAGGGCCATTTCCATTTGAGTGGGGGTGAGCTCAAAAAATAAATTGAGTAGTCCACTTGCAAAGTGTGCTATGTAAAATTTTTTCTATTTTTAGTTTTTGGTGGATTACATACCAGTATTTAAAGTAGTTTCATGTCCACTAACAACACAGTGCAAAATCTTTTTATATTCTGCAAAAATAGCATAAAATGTTAACTCTTCTTCCAAAAGTCGCTATCATACTTATTTATAAACTTTCAAAAGTATCCATCTTCTGATGAACCAAGAAAATTGCTTTGGGTCGTGTAGACTGTTAATGTTATAATTTTATAAGGCTCTTATTTATCCAAATTTTCAGGTAATAATAAAAAAGATTCAATTTAAATGTTACTTGTTGTCGTAGTCGTTTTTCCAAATTTATGGCTTTCTATTATCAAATCAAATAACGCTGTTAGCAAGTGGACGACTATTCAATTAACAAGTAACATACGCTTGGTAAATATTATTTTGATATTTTCATTTATGCCAATGCAACACTATGCGTCTGAATATATGTACATATCTCGGGGTTAAATCCATTAAGCAACACATTTTGCGCGCGAAATCACGGGAATTAATGAGTCAGGACTATACAAAGTGTCACTTTCGCGATTTCCAATGCCTTCCCTTGTGTGAGATCTCTTATCAGCTTAACCAGAGATGGGCGCTGATTGAGCAAATCAATACATGTTTTTGCTCCATATGTACATATGTATGTTGTTGTTTTTTTTACATGAGTGTTTTTGAGGTGCTTGTGAGGTATTATTTAATAATCTACTCTTTCTGTATTCACGTTTCTTATTTTCTTTTTGTTTGTAGCTTACATTTTAAACCACACCACTTGAACTTAAAAACTTGCATCTCTTCTAAAGCAACACAGCTTGGAGAAAATGTCACTGCTGCTTTTGAAGCTGTCAGCGCGTAACATAACTCTCGAAAGTCGACGTCGAACTGAATTCCGCAGGCATGTGGCTGACTATTTTTATCCCTATTTTTGCCGCCATCTAGTATAGGCCACTGAGTGCAGCTTCTTTTCATGGAGAACTCGTATATCACACACACACAATTACTTTCGAGAGGGGGGGAATATGGCGCAGATATTACTGTTGAAATGATTTCTCTACCGACCACCCACATCTTGTCTAGTCGTCATCATGTACATACATATGTATCAACGCACTCTTTAACTGCCACGAAACCAGCAACAAAACCAATAACAACTTCTATTACAACTATTGCCACCAGGGATGCCATCTCTGCTAAACCGAATTCCTCTGAGTTCTCCTCCAAAAAATGCTCAATTGCCTAAGTGCGGCTTGGTTATACTATCGTTACAAATACAACTAAATCAGAATATATGAATATATGTATTTATGTGGTATAACACAAGCAGTGCGCTCAGATTTTATTTTAAGAATATATTACATACATATATACATAACAATAATAATAATAATAATCGATTGGATATGTGTAAGTATGAATGTTAGTGTTTGGCCGAGCTTCTCCTCCGATTGTATTTTAATGAAAGCTGTTTTTCATGGCAGAAATACACTTTGAAGTTTGCCATTGTGGGCGACCGCTATTAGAAAATACTTGTTTTTTTATTTTTTGATATTGGGTTGAACCGGGCTTGAACCCAGGTCCTGCTGTAGAGCGTACTGCTAACCAATACACCACAGTGGACGCATACATATGTTTACCAAAACAAACTATCACATATAGTACCACAACAGCTCGAAAATTGCTGGAAATTTCGTGAAGGGTTCGTTGTAAGCAAAAGAACGCTTCTTGATTTTTTTTTAACCAGGAAAATTTAACATGCAGAAAACTAAAGGGCCATATAGGTATGTATGTATCTTCCGTAGAATCTTTTTTCTTTTGAAGTCCAAATCCGCAAGAGCTTAAAAGTTATAGCTGTCAACAGTGACGTGGGTGACTACTTGTTTGACGACAGAAGATAGTTCGTTTTTATTCCTTCACCACCAGACATACGAGATTTGCTTCTCTATCTAATTTCGCTAAGGCAGAACAGACGTTGCGTTTGTTGTTACCGATGCCCCCGTTACTATTCTTTGAAATCTTCAATGGCATATTCCATGCCAACAGGATCACAGCCATGACCGAAGTTAATTAACTCAATAATAAACAGAATCAATTCTGAGGTATTTGTGCGACCACAAATTCTCATAGCCGTTTTTTAAAAATCAGTTTTTGCAAGATAGACTTTTTTTTACTGTGACTGCCTATATAAATTTTGTAGAAGGTTTTCTACGCTCTACGCGGATGACCATTAAATGGCCAACTCTTCTTTAATGTTTTTTTTTTTTTCTCCAAAAATCGCCGCTGAATGTGGAAATTAGGGCCCTCTGTTATCGGCTTTTATAAGAAAATTTCGCACCCCGATCTCAAAATCTCCCAAAATATGAAGTCCTTCCTCCATTGCACTCGAATGCACCAAAATGGCCGAATCATACCTCGGTCGACATCCCTGATAACATCAAAAGCTCTGAGGTAAGAAAATTCTCGCTCAGCCTCCACAGCTCTTACACTAACACAATTGAATAAATTTGATTCAATCGCTCTTTGAGGGTGGTTTTTATATTGTACTTACCCTGCAGGAAACGGGGCTAGTTTGTAGCTAACTTTTAACCACCCAGCAGTCTACTAGATGCAACTTTTTATTATTTATTTCCTTTGGCCGTAACTAACTATTTTTGAAGGGCGATGGCCGCAATAAAGTGAGAACTGGCTTCCTCTGCATTGGGTGTCAACCAAATTGTAACTAACTACTTTTGGACACAAAATGTCAATAAATAAATGCTTTTTTTAATTTTTATTTATTTCCTTTATTAAACATTACATATTTGCTTATTTGTTTAGATGTTTTTTGTTTTTTTGTAGGTAGTCCCATATTTGAATTCCGCAGACATAACATCAAAATATAATATAAAATTTCGATCTATATTTTATTTGTCCTGAATTCGAAAAAGCATCTCTGAAGTGCAGAAAAATGTGTATTCAAAGTAATTTTTGCATGAGGATATTTAAATAGAAACTTGTTTAACGAAAACAAACTCCAAATAACGTCCGCATGACTTAACAACTCACTTACGAGTCCATAGTTTTGTGACATCTTTTGTAATATGGGTGCTTCCATGATGTCGGACGTGACACCCGTACAACTTTAGAGTTAAATAAATCATACGAAAAAGGAGGTCAGTTATAAAAAAAAGTTTGCCGTTGTGTAGCTTTTAAACCGTCCTTTGGGCGGGTGTCGGCAAAATCGATGAAAAGGAGGTAATAACGGATGTGACAAAAACAGAACTCTGTGAATCCTGTGAGGTTTTTCTTTCTTAAATATTCTTTAAATAAAATCATATTACGGACCATTACAACCAATTCATATTTAAACAGAAGCAATTCGAGACAGATTTTTCCCCCACACAATGGACCTTATGCAAAATAAGTGAGCTAAGGCTCAGACTGAGTTTTTGCACTGACGAAGTAAGCTGAAGCTCAAGAATTTGTACTGAAAATCGAGTCCGAAGCTTGAGCTCACTTTTTATGCATGATGGCCAATCTTTTTACTAGTAATACATATCTATATAATTAAATTTTTTATTTAACTTATTCAGTTCTTCTCTCCACCGTTTCGTGTTTTGTAACCTATTTTCGCCATCTGAATACGAAAATTAAAGTTATTGAGTCTTTTGCACCTATTTACTGGCATTTTCGGTCTACATTTTGATGGAAACACCAATACGTAAGTGGCTAATTAAAACTCAGGCATTTACCGAAATCGCGCAAAGACCTATAAGTTGGT